GCGGCCTCAGCGTGGCCAGAGAAGCGGTGCGTCGGTGTACGCCCGGGATCCGAACCCCGGGCTGCCAGCAACGGAGCGTGCGCACTTAACCGCTAAGCCACGGAGCCGGCCCTAAACAACTTTTTAAATAGATTTATTTCATCTTGCTGTAGTTTTCTAGTAGCAAGCTGCTCCTTCAGATATAAATTGTTTTTTGGGTTTCTGAATTGTTGCCAATGTAAAAAGGAAGAACATAGTAAATAGATGCGAGGCTGACAGTGCTTTAGTGACTTTGAGCATTGTTTGGTATAATGGCATTTCTCGTTTCAGATGCAGCAGTATCAGCAGGCTTTCTTGCAGCAGCAAATGCTAGCTCAGCATCAGCAGTCTCAACAACAGGCGTCACCTGAATATCTTACCTCCCCTCAAGAGTTCTCACCGGCTTTAGTTTCTTACACTTCATCACTTCCAGCGCAGGTTGGAACCATAATGGACTCCTCTTATAGTGCCAATAGGCAAGTATTTTTCCATGAATGTAAAGGGAATTATTGTGGAAGTGGGTATGATGTGAAGTAGAGTCACTAAGTGGCTTCTGAACTAATTTAGAGTCCATCTTTCTGTAGAGTCCCCTTTTTTCTGTTACTAGTCCTCTCTCTGGTCCCTGTGTATCCTCATCCTTCCTTGCATTTCCATCAGTTAATTGTGCTAACTGCTATTTGCAGATAAGGCTTAGCAACATGTAGCAGCATTTAAGGCTAAGGAAATTATTGGCTTATATGTTAAGACAGTCTTTGTAATTTAAGTAGAAACAAAACCCTAATAAGCTACTTTAGTAGTTTTAAAAAAAATCCTTTAGACAAGTGAATTTAACTTTTTCTGCTTCCATGTTATTACTTTCAATTAATTTGATAATATTTACTCCTAAAGATTGTCTAATTTGGTTTAATTTAAACAGGTACAAAAATTTTAATGTGTCATTTGGTTATTTTTTAAGATGATAATGATACAGCAAGCTTATTGTTACCATAGCATAGTGTATTTTGGTTATTCAGATACATTGGTTAGTAGGGTTATTTTTCATGGATAATTCATATTGAAAACATTACAATAAATTAAAGAATTGTGATACAAATTTTCTCAAACTTAGATTTGATATGGGGAGTGCTTTAGGATTTTGTAATTAAGAATTGACCATTATGAATACTTCCTAATATTTTTAGATATGAAGGAGGAAGTAGCTGTTAGAACTTACTGAAACACTAAAGAAGTTCTCGTACAACGCTATTTCAGGATATGAAACATTAGCTGGGAAAAGGTGTTTTACAAACTTTGGCTAGGAGTTGGGCATGAGAACCAGCAACATCGGTAGCATACTTGTTCACTGAGCATGTCATGAGATGGTTAAATTATACAATTTGGTGCAGTACACCTCCCAACTTGTGTGTGTGTGTGTGTGTGTGTGTGTGTGTGTGAGAGAGAGAGAGAGGAAGGGAGAGAGAAAACAAATGAGTTTATTGAAGTGCTTTCCTAAATCAAAAATTGAGGTGCATAAATGATGACAAGTATGTCTAAGTGGAGAGCAGGCCATAAGATGAAAGGTTGGTTTCAAGATCCAGATCAGAATTTGCCAAATTCTTTCTTATTTGCCTACTCCAGTTACAGTTTTTTGATTTACCCATACAGCACCTTTTTCTTTAGTAAATTAATAGCATTATTGTAAATAATATTAAAACAAATATTATACATTTCAAACAAAATTAAAGCCCCTAAAATATAATCTATGAAATATAAGTAGCAATCTATTAAATTTACGAAAAAAACATACCTGAAAATAAACCCCTAGAGATAAGAATGGAATAGTTTTAATCTTCATTAAAAATATGATATTCTGCTCGATGTTGTTTAGTTTAAGGTACCAATGAGGCTGTTTTGTTAGTTAGATATATTCTTTTACTTTTGATGTTAACTAACGTCAAAAATGTCAGTTATATCTAGTATATGTAGTTGGAAAATACAAAGAATCAAACTGTCTTCTCTGATACAGCATATATACTTATGTATACTTTGTATTCTAAAGGATACCAACCTTTGGAAGCCAAGTTGTGTCATTGATGAGAATGAGTCATGAATTGGAAATCCTATATGAGACAATTCATATTAGTGTTTTATAGCATATGTACTATCTAAACTTCTGATTAGTTATAAAAGAAGATGAGTATCTAAAGATTTGAGGCACATGTAGGCATACAAGGTGCTGATACCTGTAACTCGTGTGAATTACCAGAGCACTGCCTACTTAAATCTCATGGCTGGTGATACTGTTCATGAAATCACAGGTGTGATATGTTAGATAAGTATTTTTTCCTAATTTCTGTGTAACTTTAAAATAAAAAATTAGTTTATCATCAAAATCATCTTGCATACCCCAGTTTGGGAAATATTGGGTTGGGTATCTGTGAAAGGGTATAAGACTTGTTTTACTCCACTCCTGTGAAATTATGTATTGAGGGAGATGGGAGGCTAGAGCAGGAAAGAATAATGGTTAGATGGGTAGAAACAATTCTATACTCCGCAAATAAAAGTTAGGAACACATGGGGCCAGCCAGATTGCATAGTGGTTAAGTTTGCGCGCTCCGCATTGGCGGCCTGGGGTTCATGGGTTCGGATCCCAGGTGTGGACCTACGCACCACTTATCAAGCCATTCTGTGGTGGTGTCCCATATAAAGTAGAGGAAGATGGGCATGGATGTTAGCCCAGGGCCAGTCTTCCTCAGCAGAAAAGTGGAGGATTGGCAACAGATGTTAGCTCAGGGCTAATCTTCCTCAAAAAAAAAAAGGGAACACAGAACATCCCCCAGGAACACTGCTCCAGCCACATTTGGTGCCTCAATGCTGCTTCACTAATATTATTCCTATTTAATATCAGTCTTCACCAAGGATTATATATTGAGCATAATATCTTCTATGACAATTAAAAAGGTGATCTGTAAGCAAATATTCTTGCTTATGACTAAGTCAGTGGAAGATGAAAATTGGGATTAAATGTTTGGCTCTAAGTGTATAAGAGGTATTTGAGTAGAAATTAAGAAGCGAAGTAGTTACTTAGAGGGAAATGGTAACTATTTGGTTAACATGATTATTTCCTTTTCTTTCCCACTCACTCTTCTACTAAAATTTCTACCCTTCCACTCTGTTAATATATTGTTAGTATGAATATTAGAGAGTATTACCATGTAGTATTCAAATAATAGTTAAATAAATAAACATCTTCTATGCATATATTATCTTATTTCCTATGATATAAACTGCCCTGTTGTATTAGTTATTTGTTGCTGCATAATAAATTACCCCAAAACTTAGTGGTTTAAAACAATGATAAACATTTATTATCTCACACACTTTCTTTGGATTGGGAATTTAGGAGTGGCTTAGCTGTATAGGTATGTCCAGGGAAGGGTCTCTCATGAGGTTATAGTTAAGATGTTGGCTGGTGCTGGAAGATCTATTTATAAAATGGCTCACTCACATGCCTTTGGGCAGGAGGCCTCAGTTCTCTGTCATGTGGATCTCTCCAAAAGGCTGCTTGAGTATTTTCTTTGGCAAAGCCAAAGACTGTTTTGAACAAGGAATTGTTTATTCTGGGTTCTCGAAGGAGTGGTCCAAAAGAGAGGGCAAGAAGGAACCTGTGATGCCTTTTATGACCTAGTCTCAGAAGTCACATGCTGGCACTCTGCCATATTTCATTTGTTAGAATCAAGTCACTAGATCTAGCCCACATTCAAGGGCAGGGGAATTCACTTCCACCCTTTGAAGGGCGGAGTTTCAAAGAACTTGGTAGACATATTTTAACACCTGTTTAAACTGTAGGTTAAGGTGACCCCTCCCCCCCCATCCCCGGATTGAGTTACAGTCTACCAAGAAGAATTCATAAATTCATCTCAGGAACAGGAAGAGGATGATTCAGATAGGGAATCAAAAAGTACTGACAGGCAGGAGGGGGAATGGCCATTTCTCTTTGAGTTTTAGTCTCTCTGATCAGTGTTTCAAGGACTCCGAAAGTCTTTGATAGTTTTGGAATTAGAGATGGGATTCTGTCCTATGGAGACAGGCTTAGACCTTGATGCATTCCCAGAATGAGTTCTAAACTGAATAATGTTTATTATCAAGATACCTACATTATATTTACTAAGAAAGGCTATCTACTTGTTGGTCAATTACTGTGTTTATTTTCCTCCAGCTTTCAATAACTGTTTAAACATTCCATTCTTGGCTCAGCTATACTGAGGGGTCTTGGACTAGGGGATTAAATGGGCAGCTTTTGCCCTCTCTGTCCTTTCAAGACCTGTGTAGTGGCAATGGAAGTGTGCTCCCAAGGGGAAGAGGATGAGTCAGGGTTTGAAAAATTTGAGATACTTCTTTAAAAGCAAATAGAGATTCTCCCTCCATTACCAATGTTAGAAGATCTGGATCTGAATTATGAAATGAACTTGACAACTTTGTTACAATGCTTCGTGCCTATGCTATATTTCCTGGCTAGGCTGAAGGAGAGGTACCCAGAGATTCTTAGGCTAAGAAGTCTTGAGACTCTCATCTTCTCTTAAAAGCCAAGAGGCCTATTGGATAATTTGCGTAGAACCAGTGGTCCCAGCCTCCAGAATATAGATACTTTAAACACCATGAATGATTTATTATGTAGAAAATAACCCTCATCTAGTTTTAGCTAATTCATAAAGCAGTCCTAGCAGTTCATCTTTTGTTGGTAGTTACATGAGAATGCCTTTGTCAAAAGGAAAATTATTGTGTCTCTAGCAGGACATAAGATCACCTTACTCAATAGTGATTTTAGAGTGATACTGTTTGATAGGGCAACTGGTTGTCATTTTAAGGCTCATTCACTATGATAATAATAGTTAATATTTATTGAGTGCTTATTTTATTTTATTTTTTTACCAGACACTGTTCTCTTTGCTTTACATGTACTAATCATTTAATCTCCTCAGTAACTGTATGAGGTAGATACCATTCCTCCTGTTTTCCAGGTGAGGAAGCTGAGACACAGATAGGTTAAGGAACTTGCCCAAGGGTACACAGTTAGTGATTCAAATCCCAGGTGGCCTCCCTCTCAATCCATGCCCTTATTTGCCATCTCCATCATAATAAAATGATCTGCTTTTATAAGCATTTATAAAGTATGAACTAGGGCACTTTAAAATTTTCAATCCTAATGTTTTTTTCTTCTTTTTCCTCTCTTAATTATTATTCTAGGTCAATTGCTGATAAAGAGGCAGTTGCAAATATTGCAAATCAGAAGAACATCAGTAACCCACCTGATATGTCAGGGTGGAATCCTTTTGGAGAGGATAATTTCTCCAAGTTAACAGAAGAGGAACTGTTGGACAGAGAATTTGACCTTCTGAGATCAAGTAAGGGACACTTGAAGGCTTATTTTGCTTCACAGTAAAATAACAGGTCTATAATTATTCAGCAAGGCCAAAGACTGTTTTGAAGTGGTAAAAAGAAAATTCTTTTTGTGCATTTGAGGGCAAAAATCAGGCCGTCTTCTTTTACATATACTGTCAAACTATGTTGTGTGCATTAGAACTCAATTGCTTGATAGTAGCTATTAAACCCAAGATTGCTGATAATACGCTGATTCCTAACACTTAGATACTGCATATCTTTGAATGTTAAATTCAGCATATCTCCAAAACATGGAATATTAATGTTCAAATAAAAAGGGAGATATTAGTATCTTGCCTTACTAATCGTTTTGCAGCTCTGTTTTCTTGCACACTTAGTAGAAGATATTGTGGGTCTGAGATGCCCTGTGAAAGTGCCTGAAAGAAAACATGGGCTCCTACATTATGTTAATGTTTTGTAATGCCCTTTTAACGAGTGGTGACGTAAAAGGGCTGCTTTGTTGTCCTGATATGGCAAAAGTTAAATAAATTCTTTTCCACTTTAAATCAGATATCTCAATGTTTTTACTTGAAATCATTGCCTTTTCTTAAACTACCTAAAATATATGTCAAACCTCACCATACATATTTTAGAGAAGTTATTTTTTGGAAAAGGGATGCGTGGAGTGTTTTGAGGAGGTTGCAAAACAGGAGCAAAAAGCTCGCTTCTGGAGTATGTAGATAATTTTCAGGTTTCTGAGGCTTGTGTGTGTGTGCGTGCACGCACGTGCATGTGCACGCACATCAAAGTGTGTTTTCCCATTTTGCGTGTGAAAAGAAGGTCTTAATGGTCCCTAGTTATAGTTTCTAGTCTCTATTTTGTTTTAGGTAACTGGCCTTATGAGAACATTTACTAGATGAAATGCTTTGTTCCAACTGATATATATTTTATGTAAAATTTATAAATGCCCTGAATTCATGTAAGAATAGTTGTTTGGGATTTAAATTTGTATTTTACATATTGGTTATATGACTATGAAAAATTGATGATTAAATGCAGATATAAAAATGAGTTCTGAGCCTTTAATAAAGGTTTGTTAACTTTGGTGAAACCAACCTTATATCTTTTTATTAAAAAAATTTTATTTTAAACCAACTTTTTTGTTTGGCATTTTTCCTACAATTTATGTTGAGTGGCACCAAAAGCAAGGTTTTAAAAAAGGAAATAAAGTATCTCTTTCTTTTGTTGGGAATGGCAGGGAGACACAGTGGGTAATCAAATCATTATAATTTATAGGATTATTTTTAAAGCAAAAGGTAAAATTAAAATATCCATTTTAACGTGTTCTGAACAGGATAGTAACTAATGGTTTGCTAAATCAGTATTTTCTACTCCTTGGGTAAAAACTCCTTTTTTTTTAAATCAGTTTATGGAATACGTAAAGTATTCACATTATTTTGTACCTTATAAAAATGTGTTATTCTAAGTTCCCTAGAATTTGTAATGACAGCCAGTTGTATTTACTTTGCATAGGCAAGAATGGTATATAAATATTCATGTATACATAACTTCATGGGTTTAGCATATAAAACTCTTAACCAGCTATTTGCTTTCCAACTTCAAAGTCGGATAACATGTGTAATTTGTGTTTGTATTTGTGCACACCTGTGTGTGCCAAAGAGAGTTCAGACTTCATCGAGGTGTTAATTATGGAAAGATATTGAATTCTAAATGAAAGTGCAGGAGGAACTTTATCTGAAGGTCAGCCTTGGAGCAACTCAGCCATTTGGAAAACTGCCTAGATGGTCTCTGAGCCACTGAAATCACTGTCACAAGGCTGATGCACTTAAATTGGCACATGGCACTAGGAAACATGAATTCTGATCTCTGACAATGCCATGTAACTAGGTTGTAATCTCAGTAAAGTCACTTAACTGCTGTCTCACTTCCTCATTTATAAACTGGCTGTAATGATGCTTATCTCATAGGGTTGTCAAAAATTTAATGAGATAATGTGTTTAAAGAGTCTGGGCACTCCATAAATGCTACTTCCCCTTTCCTCACCTTCTGTATAAGTCTTTAGGCTCTGACTTCTGAGGTTATTGCCCTTTAACCAGCATTTAAAAATTATATCTAAACTATAAGTTTCTCAGCTGATAATTAAAAAACCAAAGTAGAAGGGGCTTTCTGGGCAAACACATCAACAGCAGAAGTGACATACGACAGCAAGGAAGGAGATGGAAAAATGTCTGTTTTTCCCTTAATAACTGATAGTCATAAGGGGGTTCAAAAAAAGGTGAAATGTCTTTAATAAAGTTTATAAAGAAATCAATAATGTATAGAGTATAGTTTAGAAAGATTTCCTCCCAAAGTTTTACTTAACTGTAATATTGAATCATCTTTAGCACATCTTTAGCAATAGGTATCTAATATTTGGCCTACTTGATAGGGTTTAAATTACACTGATGGGTAAAAGACCTCTTCTGAAACCTTAAGTTTCAGTAGAAGACTAACAGTGTAGTGAAAATTGATTGTTGGTCATTACTAGTTGGTTCCTCTGTCCTCACAACTTTTCCCAAAATGAATAAGTAAATTATTGATGCATTTGAAATATCAAATTTACTTTTTTTCTCAGTACAGATATTTATCAACAATTTTCCAAAGTCCTTTCTAAAATAATTTGTATTTGGTTTATGAAATGCTTTCCAGTGAGAAACTGAGTACTTTTATTTTGGGTCCTTAAAAATATAGGCAGTGCCCATGTAATGATTGTTCAGAATAATATATTGCCATTTGAGGTTTTATTTTCAAAATGGTATATGGTTATTTATTTTTTTAAAAAAAAGAAAAAGGATATGCTGTTTAGGAGATAGTTTACTTATGTGTATTATCCAGAAAGTAATTTTAAAATCTTAATATATTTTGAGACACTAAAATTCCAAAATATTTGACATTGGTAACAAAAAGTGTTTTTTAAATGATCTTTAAGAAAACAGTTGATTCATATTCCAGTTGGCAAGGGATTTAACATATAAAATAAACCAGATTCTTCTTGCTTTTGCTTTCAGTGTAACCGAATATTATTTATAGTTCAGAATTTTTTAGCTGCTCCTATTTAAGACCAAAACACTCAATGAAAATTAAGCATTATTAATAAAGCTGTTCTCAATGATATTTTTTTCTTTTCATTTCTTTTCTCTTTTCTCTTTTTTCTTTCTTTCTTTCTTTTTTTTTTTTTTGTGCGAGGAAGATCAGCCCTGAGCTAACATCCATGCTAATCCTCTTCTTTTTGCTGAGGAAGACCAGCCCTGAGCTAACATCTATTGCCAATCCTCCTCCTTTTTTCCCCTTTTTCTCCCCAAAGCCCCAGAAGATAGTCGTATGTTATAGTTGCACATCCTTCTAGTTGCTGTATGTGGGATGCCGCCTCAGCATGGCCGGACAAGTGGTGCATCGGTGCGCGCCCGGGATCCGAACCCGGGCTGCCAGTAGCGGAGCACGCGCACTTAACTGCTAAGCCATGGCGCTGGCCCCTCAATGATATTTTTTAAAGTTTAAGCTTGTATTTTTCATTGTCTTTTGTACAAAACATCCGGATTAGTATATAAATTTTAGAAGTCTGTCATAATATTTAATCCATTAAACACTAATTAGAAGACAGGTATTTGCTTTGGAAAGATTTTTAACTTGCATTTGTTCAGATAGCTGTGTAGCTCTACATGTTAATTAAAAGTAATACTTAATGGAATATTATTTTTCTTGTTGATGGTGGATTTATTGTTTGTTTAAAATTGCATGAAAATAACTAAAAGGGAGAATAGAAGAAACTAAAGACTGTGGCTGCTTTGCAAATTCTACTGAATATGTTGTTTTCTTCTCTGAAGCCGCAAAGTGAAATAGATATAAACGTGTACATATAACTAGTTTGTTGTAAAACATTAACTCTTACTATTTTAAGCTAATTCAGGTCTATTATTGTTCCTTCAGCGCAGAATAACAGAATTTTTCAAGTATGATAGAACAGTTTCAGAAGTATCAGATGAAGACTGTACTTTTAATGCTTATTTATTACCTTTTTGGCTATTCAAGCCATTATCCATATAAGCTGCTGAACTAACTTTTTAGAGTATATTAATTTTCTGATGATATTATGGAGCATACTTTGATTCTAGGATTTTTAAAACCTGTATTTTTTGCCATCTGTATCTATTAAAATTCTTGAAAAGATATTGTCTTTATTCACCAACACAATTCTTTTGGGAAGGCAGGAGGAGGTAAGTTTCTTATATTGGATAAATCAAGTTCAAGTTTTGCTCTAATGTAAAGAAAACCAGTTATTTGAAAATGGAACTTAAATACATTTTAGGGGTGACTTTGTATTTGAAAAGTAACTCTGCACACAATTTCATTAGTTTTTATTTTTATAGATAGTTGATAATTTGAAAAATTAATATGTGTACTTATTTTGTATTTTCTGCCCTGGGACCCACATTATCATGTGAAGTTTAGAAATCTAAATGATTTTTTAATAATCCTCCATGGGAAAATTGATTCTGTGTTTTGTGGAACAATGAGAACATGATTTATTTTATGAGTTTATTCTGATTCCTGTTTTGAGATAATTGGAGAAATGAACTTTGCATAGAACAGTCTCTCCATATTTTTAATTATGGGGACCCACTATATAAAAAATGCTAGTTTACCCCTACATGATAATGCTTGTGCTCTTGTCATAACTACATGGTGCTGTTGATACATTTACCGTGAATTTGCCGTAGATTGATGGAGATAAGACACCAGTGCATGAGAATTCAAAGAACCTTCGCGGTAACTTTTCATTTTTATATGCTAGGAATCATTGGTACAGTAGTGATTTATAAACCTGGAAAGTATGTTAAAATGTAGATTCCCAAGCTCCTACTCAGATAATCTGATTCATTAGGTCAGTGGTAGGGCCCAGGTGACTACATTTTATACAGGAATCCTGGCAATTAGGATGCAGATTGTTTAGAAAAGAGTTTTGTCCTAATTTAGACCTAAGTACCTATATTTTTCTTGTTGTGATTTTTGAGAATGAGGGCTCTTGGATATTGATATGCTGTGGCTATCACTCTTAGACAGTCTCTCCCATTTGTCCTTCCCCACTCCCTCTTTCCTTTGTCCTCACTCTTGTACACCAGAATTTGGGAGATGGAGATAGGATGGGGAAGTCTAGGAGGACTCTGATACAAGGAATAATCCCTCGTTTTACAGTTACTCTATATATGTTTTTAGGGCCTGATAAAACTGGTAGCCACAGGTACCTTCACTGACTCAGTGAATCTTAGGCCTCTTCTTAAGGTTTGCTTATGGCTTCTCACCACGATAGATTAAAGACTCTCTGTTATGATAAAGTATCCCCCAACCTTATTTTTTCAGAAAGATGCTATGGGACTAACTTCTTTTTAATAGGCGTTGGACAGTAAAATACGAAAAAACGTTTCTCATGGTACAATCAGCATTTGTTACTGATTTCCTGAGTTACGTGTACAGTTAATATTTTGAAAAAGAACACCTAAAATAAACTTTCATTGTTATCCATTGCAGTATGAGATTTGAAAAGTGGCTCTTAGGTTTTGGAAGTTCTGTTTGTGCGTAAATCAATCGTCAGATGTGTTGCCTTAGCAAAATATTTATTAATCCTTCAAGAAAATTTTAAGTAAAATTTTAAACAACCCAAAGTTTCACATGGGTATTGCAGAGTTAGTTTTAGCCATAAAAGCTGATGATTGTATCCATTATCATAAAGGCATTTAAAGAATTAGTTGTCCATAGCAGTAATTAAGTGTATTCAGGATATTGTAGACTCTAGGGCCTCGCCTTCTCAAGAGTTTGTTCCCTGGACCAGCACTATCACATAACCTGGGAGCTTGTTGAAGTGCAGAATCTCAGGATCCATCCCAGAATCATCCAGTCAGAATCTTCATTTTAACAAATCCCCAGGTGATTGGAATGCACATTAAATTTGAGAAGCGCTGTCCTAGGAGATTGCTGCTTTAACTTGGGGCTTTTTGCTTCACTCTGAAGTTATAAGTGATTTTTAGAGAATTCTAATTATATTTGGATTCTTCCCCCCACCCCGCAATCCTTTAGAACTCAAATGAAACCAGCATAATTTACCCATAGAATTCCTTAAATATGAAAGGTGTAGTCCTGGGAATGCTTAAAATATCTGGAAAAGCATCCCTGATGGTATGCATTTGATTGCTAAGAATCAGGATAGAGAGACAACTCACGAAAATCCGGAAGTTCTCAACTGATGAAGTGCCTGCAATGTGCAGAGTTTAAGAGCAGAGGAAAGATAATTACTACTAGGTAATTCAGATACATCAGCTCTTCTTCAGACACACCAGGCCTGCTCCTGCCTCAGGACATTGGCTCCAGCTCTTCTCTGCCTGGTGTGTTCATCCCCACATGTCCACTCCCTGCCTCCTGGAAGTCTTTTCTCACCTGGTCCCTATTAGAATCACTCTATTTATTACTGCAGCCTGTGCCCACTCCCTTCATTCCTTTTACCCTGCACTACATTTTTCTCTGTAGCTTGTTTTTAACATATTGCATATATTTCTCATTATGTTCATTGCTTATTATTTGTTTTTCCATGCCAGCATATAAACTCCATGAGGGCAGAGTCTTCGTTTTGTTTGATGTTGCATGCGCATTGCCTAGAGCAGTGCCTGGCACATCCTAGATGCTCAAATATTTGTTGGATGAAATAATAAATTCTGTTGTTAAGGGTTTTAATTTAGTAGAGAAATATCTGTATCTTTGTATCTGTGTATGTGAATGGTTTAATAATTACAAAGTAAAAAGAGAAATGTACAATAACATAAAATATAGTGAATTACTTTTTATTGCTATTGAGACATAGGATTTACCTATTTTATGAACGACTGACCATTTGCAATATTTTTTCCATATGTATTTTTGGAGAAAGTCTGCCAAATATGTCTTTCTTTAGTAAGCTGGGTGTAAGTTCAGGTCCAATATGTTACAAGTTGAAGACAACTGGTATTTAAATAGAACAAACCAAGTTATTTATTAGGTTAATTGTATTTAGTGAAATCTAGCCCTGGGATTATATAGTTAAACTTGCTTTTGTAGCAACAAATATGTATTAAACTCAGGACTGCCCCCTAATACTTATAAAAATGAATTCTGAATCTAATATTTTTCAAAAAGGCTGTTGCTTTAATTTTTACTTTTGTTTATACTGTATACTACTTTTTGTTTTTAATTTAAAGACCGTTTTGTTTTTATTTTATTTTTTGTTTTGTTTCATCTTATTTTTGCAGACAGGCTCGAGGAGAGAGCATCCTCAGATAAGAATGTAGACCCACTTTCTGCTCCACATAACCATCCTCCAGAAGATCCCTTTGGTTCTGTTCCTTTCATATCTCACTCAGGCAAGTTACATATGTAACATCATCACTACCATTAAAAATACACACGACAACAATAAAAACAACAAAAAACCTTATTAAATATAAAGCCAAAGTAAGAATTGGGTGTTTGTTACAGAAAATAGAATAGAAAATTATTTTAACCTTTACCCATCCTAGTCTTCCTAATGTTGTTCTTTCCATCGGATTATTCAAGTGTGCCTTTTGCCAGCATAGAAAATGCTGATTTACATAATAGAACTGTAACCATTTCTTTTTACTTTTATTGTTGGATACTATTGAAAAAAATTCATGCATGAAAATATTTCTCCCTTTTATATATTTAAAATACATTTAAGACATTTTTATACCTAGATTTTGCTTAAAAATCCTATATTTTTCTAGTTTATGCATACTCTCTTGTAGCTGCATTTAAAAAATATTAATGATTTTGTATTTGTCACAGTCTTTTTGTGACAGATTACCTACTCTTTTCTTCTTACATCCTTGTTTTGATTTCAATCTATAATTTAAATATTGTTGTTATTCACCACTTAAAAATATTTGTAGTATTATTTTCAAAGTAATTACTCAGTTAACACTGTTGAAGATACTAGGATGGACTAGGATGCCACTTTGGCATAATGGATTTGTGTATGTATGGTAATAATGGAAAAAATGAGTTTAATCTTAGAAAAGGGAAATATATTGAAAGAAATCCTGCTTCATTAGAAGGTAAGGGTTTTGTTTAATATATTCAGGGTAACTATCAGCCATGTTCTTTGGTTCTGTCCTTTTTATTTCTCACTCAGGCAAGTTACATATGTAACATCATCACTACCATTTAGAAAAATATATGCAAGAGGGAACAACAACAAAAGAAAAACTTATGAATGTAAAACCAAAATAAGGAATAGGCGTTCGGGATTTCTGATGAATACATTGAGGCAATGTTATAGCTTTTCAACTTTCGGATTTGGTTATCCAGAACATACGGCACAGTGATTAAGGGTGTTTCTACATACTGTCACATTCCATGTTTTACTCTTTGCCATTTATTGAAAACAGTCCATATTCTTGTCATTTTCTGCTTGCTTCCCTGCAATCATCTTTTTCATGAGTGACCTGATGTCATTAACTGGGGAAGACAGTTTACTGTGTCTATTTACTTAATCTGCATAGATGTACTCCCTCATACCTCAATACCATAGTCATAAAAATGTTATTGCTTTTTTTAAAAATTATAATATCTCGAAATGGCCTTTATAAGCTCTCAAGAACATAGTATTCATTGACTTCAGATACTTATCTATTTGTGGCAGAAAGTGGTTCAGTATTACTTCTTTTTCCTACTGTAGAAGGAGTTGCATAATCCTTTGCAGGTTTGCGCTATCTATGCAGCTTCTTCTCTGTTCTTTGAGCTTCTGAAAGAACCCTGGGGAATGAATAATGGAATTATTACCTATTATTATTACTACTCTATTATTACTAGAGTAAGCTGCAGTGATTTGCCTTTTCCCTGGGCACCCTTATTTTGGGGTAGGCCTAGGATTTTTGTAGTTAGAAATATGCTCACAGATTTGAGCTTGATTGCTGCTGTTGTTATTTTGTTTTTCTTTTTACTGTGGGTATTTAACTTCTCTATTAGATTATAAGCTTTTTGAGGGTTGGAAACGTGAATTGTCTGTCTTTGAATCCTGCCCAGTAGCCAACCCAGTAAGTACCTAATAATATTCATTGGATGTATGAAAAAATTATGACTATTCCTAAAAATTCATACTCCTTTGTGTTAGGACAGTGACCTCTGATATAATTGCTGCCTCTCCAAAAAATCTTCTTAGATTTAGTGTGAACATGAGCATTATGGAATGGTTTGGTTATGAAAAATTGAGTTCCTAGACTGGAATAAAGAAGGGAGTGGTCACAGGAGAAATGTGCGTCCAGAGAAAGCAGAAAAGGTGGTCACTTTGCTCTACTAGCATTGTTAGTTTATATTTATCAGCACCCAAATACATAATTAAAATAAAAAATTTAAAAATAACTTATTGCCACTGATGTATTCATTATTACGCTTAGAAATACTTATATATAATTTTTTGGTAAAAATAAAGTATTTGAGGGCATTCATTTTCCTATAATAGTAAAATAATTGAATCTACTAAGACAGAAATTAAGTTCTCCATAAGCTTGAGGAAGAAATTGGAAAAATAAAAAGGAATTGTATCCAGTGAAAGTATACTCCACCTAGCATTGTGAGCATCTGGAAATCTGTAGGACTAGGACAGAAGAAAGGCAAAAAACTACTAAATATGTGTGTGTGTGTGTGTGTGTGTGTGTGTGTGTACGATACAGAATGATATGTATATATGATAAACCATCTTACTTGAATCTGAGAGTTGACAATTACTGAACATAATTTAATCTTAGGTAAACCATATAGAAAATGATACTTGAGAACAAAATTAATTCAATCATGAGGCAGAAAGCTATAAGAATTTAGCAAACTTTAAGTCTACTGGTAAAGTACATTTAAGAAGAAGGGCTACTGTCCTGAATCTAATGTTCCTTACACTGGTTTTATTAGGAATTATGCTCTTTTTATTTTGAAAGAAAAAATTTCTGTTAAAACTTTTAATCTTTGAAATTGTAAGCGATTAGTTTTTACTTTGTTTTATTCAGTTTTCATAATTTTACAAAATTATTTCTAAACTAATTTTTTAAATTAAAATAATAAATATATGTACCTTAAAAAGTTGAATTTAACAGGTTTATAGAAAAAACATCACTTCTCTGCCTGCTGCTTCCGTGTCCCCTTTCAAACTACTCAGAGCTAATTTTTCTCTTCTGGCATTTTAATATATCATGCTTATTCTGCTATTCCCCCCCCCCCCCAATTTTAGATAATATCTGTGGGCTTCCTTTTGTGGAAAATGAGGATTTAGATTAGATACACCATTAGCCCTCTCATACACACACACAACCTTCCAGTTGTCCTTCCCCTATCCTTCCAGTACAGTTTTGATGCAATTGTTGGTTGTCATCATTCAATGTGTATATTTTTTGAATATGTAAATATTTGTTACAACTGAGGTCCATTATATCATGATTATAATTCGTTTTATTTTTCCTGGAGTTAATTATAATTATGTTTATAAAAATGACTATGTTTTTCTTTCCTTTGTTTTTTATGTACCCTGTCATTGATTGATCTCCATTTAGAAGTAAATTTCCTCCCAATTTAAGGTGGCTGTCATTTTCATTTTTACTTGGTTACATGTCTCATGGAGTTCTGCAATTGGAATTAGTTACTTTCTGTGCCTTCCACACACTTATCTTTCTAGTATTTTATTTTACCATTAGTCTTCCTGAGAATTCCTGGGTCTCCTTTCTTCCTCTGTCTTGGTTTGTTAATAGAGCAACTCCTCTAGTAGTTTCTTGAGAAAGTATGCATGGGAGGAAAAATTTTTTTTTTTTTTTTTTTCTTTTTTTTTTATTGCAGTAACATTGGTTTATAACATTGCAAAAATTT